CACTGCTCGCTCCATGCATTGGATTATTGATAAGCTAAAAGCGAAAAAGAAGCGCTCGTAGTACGATAACTCGATTTCGTATGTTTTTTTTTTTTCTGCAGAACGGGAATTGGAGACAATCGTGGCAAGTATGTGCATCGTTCAACAATCATTGCATTGTCTGCATATTTCGCTGCGGAACATGATAGGAAATGCAACTTTTTCATCCAACGTTTCAACTCTCTATGGAGTATTCTTCCGGGAATAAAAGTTTAATGTTCTTTAGTCTAGAAATTCATCTATCGATTGTCTAGGTAGAATTATAGTATCGGATATTTTATCTAGTGGAATGAACGGTCAAATAGATTTAAAGCGCGCAAAATTGGAGATAAAACTTCCTAGCTCCCTCGGTTTACATACGATTTGACCGTTCATTCTACTAGATACAACATGTGGTTAACTATCACTCGGCTAAAAATAACTTTAATAAAGCTAAAATCAAATTAAAAAACGCTAGATTCAAAATCTGATTCACATTCACAGCGTTGTTTTATTTTTGTTTTTAACATGTGTTTTACAACTTCATAAATTGCACAACAAAATTTATAGCACTTCGCCAGCAAGCAATCAACTTTCCGTTGGTCAATTACCCAGAATACCCCAAATAACAGATCTATCACGATTTTTTCTACGATGAGGCAGTTTAGTCGGATATTTCGAAATTTTAGTAAACTCGATTTTGTTGTTAATAAACTAAGCCCCACGAAATTCCGTTACAATTAAAAAATATGAAAGCAAAAATCAACTAGTATATTTCCGATCATAGCTAAATAACACGAAAGGGAACATATATAAATGACTTAGCATTCTGAGAAAAAGGGAGGGGGTTTCCGAAGTTGAGGGGGGTCTTAAATATGTCAAAAATATGATACGTTATTTATGGATGGTCCCAAACCAAAATCAAAAGATTCAAATTCAAAACATTCCTCGGAATTCCACTACGAAGCGAAATAAACGTAATAACTCCAAATATCGCATACGGTAAAATCACAGACAAACAGACGTATCGCTTTATTCTGGATCATCGTTCACGCATTTAACGATTGATTTGAATATTGTTATTCCCTCGAACTTCTCAGCACCGGATGACTTTGCCGTTTCTATATATTCTGATTATCTTGCATGCAACATTGTTTGCGACTTAGCAAGCTAGCTTGTTTTCCGCGAGATGCTCGAGAGATGCCGTTACTGAGGTTCTATATTTTGAGGTACAATGTTTTCAAGAAAACGTATTCAAAGAGTTACATCTGTTTGTCTGTAGTAAAATGTTCCATAAACATACGAAAACGCACCCATCAAAAATTGTGTCATGTACTAGGAATAGAACTTCCCCAAGAAAATAGAAAAGTACAAGGTAGGACAACGTGGGTTCAAATAATAAATCTTATTTGTTAACTGCAGAAGGAGGTTATGTTTTGTGTAGGAATAGGAATTTGAAAGGGGGTTCTCTCTGTTTATACTCTTTAATATGACGCGCTTGACATAGATGACCCACAGCGACTCACGAAGAGCTACTGATTCCGATCAATGCGGCTTCTTCCTCCTTCTATGGATACTCATGTCGGCTGCAACTCACTGCTTGCAGGCAGCCTTTTGTTGTGTACTGGAGCACAATGTTCAACGCCATGCCCCGAAAACACTGCTGCTGCTGCTGATGCCGACGACCGGACACCATGACCGGACACGGTGATTGGAACTGAATCCGATCAGCGGTTGAGGCCAGTCTTGAAAGCTAGCTGCTTACGGGGAGCCTTTCGTTGCGTACTGAAGAACACCACCACTCACCACGCGGTGATTGAATAAACACATGGAATTCAACTTTGAAATCTGTGTCAGGGAAATCGCTTTTCGCAGGCAATCGGTGATAATTTTATTTATCATAGCCACAGTTGCACATTCGTGCAATTTTCAATAAAAAACATTTTGAAGAATGATAAAGTCTTAAATTTGATGCGTCGAAATATTTCTGATCGATTGGTGATAAAATTATTGAAATTAGACCAGGGGCAGCTGAGTTATTAACGTTAAAAATCTTTCATAATTTTGTTACATGTTCCATTTTCGGTTTGCACAAACTGTACCCACATATAGAACTCACAGACGTAGTACTACATCAAAATGTACTGATACAAAAATCGACAACTGTACCATAAATAAAGGAAGGTGAACCCATACATAAAAAAGATTAGCACCCGTAAATACAGGAGTATGTGCAGGGTGCGTGTCGAATTTTGCAGTAAATTTCAAATAGTAATATCTCATGCTTGGATACTGATTTAGATATATTTGGCAGCACTGGATAGCTTATACTGTTAGGTGTCAGATGTAAACTATCAGTGTTGAGTAAACGTAAAGAGAGCAATTGGTCAGCCGTTGTCGCTTTGTTGCGCACCGAAATAAGCGTAAAATATATAAACCGGTCGGTAAATGTGTCGGAAAGAACAGTGAATTATATATATATATATATATAAAAAAGGCTTGGGAAAGTGATAAAGTGGCATATGCACCTACCCAGAAAAATATAAGTGCCGTTCCAAGACGGTTGAACGGAATTGGGTCAAAAATGTAGAAAAAATTAAAGAGTTGTGTCCACGACCGCAGTATGACGTAGAACTACGCCAAATTGATGTGTGTCATGCATTTTTGACTATCATACGTTATCTAAAAAAATTTCAAGTATTTCAATGTTTCCACCGTTCATCTTACGCATAAGATAATGTATTTAAATTTAATGTAATGGTTAAGAATTGACAGAATTTTCCCTTCATAACTGGTGTTTTGCATAAATGATTTTTCCGCGTTTCGTATTAGGAGCTGTTCATTAACTACGTAGACAGTTTTTAAGAATTCTTTCCAACCCCCCTCCCTCCCCCTGCGTAGACAATCGCCAAGACATTTTTTTTTATTTGTAAGGGCCGTGGATAAATGCCGTCACTATTTGCGTTTCCAGCATTTACGAATATAGCAACATTTGAAGGTTTGCACTATCTCCTTCCTGTACTCATTTCTCCTTGCCATCACATTTTGTCTACACAGCAAAAAATTAATTTGAATATTACATCCAAGAGGATGCACTTCAATCTTGTCGAAAATGTTATGTAATTTTAATGGCCATAAAAATAAACAAATGCAGTAAAAGTAGCGTAATGTCAGTTCATGCACTGTATTAATGATAATTTTGTCCCCTTTGGCAAGTAATATTACACCATATTTTTGACACGATTGAAGTGCATACACTTTGATGTGATATCAAAATTAATTTTTTGCTGTGTACACGGAGAAACAGAATGATACATTTTAATTGATTAATCATTAATGATTCAAAACTACTCAAAAATGGTAAGATTGTATTCATCATTATGAGTTGTCCCATTTTTCTCAAAAATGATTCAACTTGGATCATAAATGTATCATTCTGTTTCTCCGTTTACTTTGCTGGCAACCGATCTGAATCGACACACACATTAACAGTGAGCAAGTGTGACGTTCATTTCCTCTTTTTTTCGGTTGCGCGTTGCTTTGCGTGCATTTTATTCAAAGAAAAAATTATGGCCGGTGATTTAATTGAATAGTATAAAGCAAAGAATTTCTTAGGGGACCAACGTAAACAAGCGTATTAAGAAAATCAAAAGATCGATCTACTAAAGATCGATTCTTTGGTACCGATTTATTCACTGGATCGATTCTAGAGCCTAATACACGCTAACTTGAAAGTACCCATTAATGGTTGAAAAAGACCCATTTTGAAGAAAAGTGGCTTAACTCATTAAATGAGTAAATTTTTTACCCATTAATGAGTATCTGTTACCCATTAATGAGTAATTGTTAATCATTAATGGGTAACAGATACTCATTAATGGGTAAAATTGTTTAATCATTAATGAGTTAAGCCACTTTTCTTCAAAATGGGTCTTTTTTTACTCATTAATGAGTACTTTCAAGTTAGCGTATATACAATCGATCCGTCAAGATCGATCTTTCTCTTAAGATCGCCCATTCCTAGTCCGAAGCGGTAATGAGCAGAGGCACAACTTATGTCGCTAAAAGCTAAAATCAAGACAGTGATGCCATCTATGGATCGAAACATTGTAAAACGTGTATGCGGCAGTTTCGGAAAGGGTCCAACTACAGTCGTCGAAAGGGAAGGCAATTTTTTTAAATGAAATAATTTACAGCTTCCATATGTTGCGAAAGAAAATAAATCACGAAACATTCATTGTTAGTATAACTAACTGGTGTAATTTTTCTCAAATATGTCATTTACTGCTAAAATTCGTCGTGTACCCTGTGCTAGAATAATCTGCATCAGAAGCTTCTTCTGGATTTTAGAAGCCCGTCGTCCAGGTGGCTAATGTTTTCCGAAATATGTGTCTTTTTTCTTCGTCGATCTTGTCGGAAATATGTGTGATGTTCATAGGGGAAATGGATGTAATGCCGGCCTAAATGCCCATAATTTGGACCCATACATAAATTCAGTATTCGACTAAATTTTCAATAGCGACCAAAAATATCCATTAGTACCGTACCACGTTCATCTAGATAAAATTGATTTATTTATTGATATTTAGCAGATTTTTAGCGATGGGCCCAATCTTAGATCCATAGGCCAACATTAGAGCCATTTCCTCTATATGAAAATCATTAGAAATATAACTTTCATTGGGCTTTTAAAGCGATATTTTCATTGGGCATCCAATGAAATTTAAAGGATATCACCAAGGGTGACCACCTGAAATTTTGCATCAGTGTAGGGGTAAAAGTGCAATTTCTTATTGGCACAATTTTGTATGAGTGCGTTTTCTATTTTGTATGATACATTTTACATTTTTCACTGGTACATTATAAGAAGACAAGCATTTGACGCTCTGATTAACTGATATTAGTCAATAATGATAACAATTCAGTTCACTCTCTGCTCGATGGTACATGATACAATTACAAGTTCCATACAAGTTCCTTACCTTTCTGAATCTGATAAACTATTTTACTACACGAAAAATACAGGAACTTCAACCCGGAGCTTACGATGTTTGTAGATACTCATGAGACTCATGTCTGTTGTTGCTATAGATATTTACCACTGCTACTGCTACTACCACTACTATTCATACTGCCACCACTAATGATGATGATGAAGCTCCGTAGATCTTCCAGAAAAGACGTCCACGCCCATCACGTCATTTGTCGTCATCAGGCGCCTGGCCAATTATTATTGTGTACACTGCACGAACCGATCAGGGAAGGTATCTGAAAATCACCGGGGAAAAGAACAAACAAGACGTGCTATAATAACCAACGATAAGGCAACTGAAAAGCTAATTCGGTAACATCCATCTACAGGTACACACACACACACACACACACATTACCGCACGTCATCGCTCCGCACCGGAATGAAAAGCTAATGTGAAAAGGTTGATTTATACATTCGAGGAAAATATTAACTGCCGTACCCAGAGGGGTCACCGTCTGATGGGCTCGACTGAAACGTAGTTCACCGGCGAAAAGTCTTAAATTCTCGGAACTTTACTACAGTTTATGTCGTTACTTTCATAAACTACTCAAGCATGTTCAATGTTACATTTGAAGATTCGCAAAAAAACGTCACGAAATAAACTTATTATTACCACACCGTTTCCACTTATCCTCGACAAATACACAGCTGTGCTCCGTAGAGCACTTGCAGCACCGTTTATCCAACATCCTACAGTCGCAACTCACAGACCGGTCATTTACATAATTGACCGTCGTAGTTAGCCAGTAGTGGAGTCCGGAGGACCCCGCTGGCTGGGGTCGTCTCATCGCACCACTCCACTGCGAACTTTGACAACATAACTATGTTAGAAGAAAACCGCACCGAGATGAAGAAGTAGCAATGGTTCATATTTACGATGCTCCTGTGTAAAGTGATGGTGGAAACCACACTATTAGGTACCCGCATTCAGGAGGTAGGGAAGCAATTAAACCAAATGCGAGACCACCGAAGAAAGATGGCAAAATTGTGTATCATCGCGTTCTTAAAGTCACCGTCTACCGCTTTACCCGACTGTTATTAAAGTGGATTAACTATATATTTAATACCGCTGGATTTTTTTTGCTTCACAACAGGGACATGACACTTTATCACAGCATGAATCGCACAGGGGGGCATGCGGCAGTTTGGCCACCTTAGGAAAATCATCACTAATGAGACCATGAATTCAGAGAAAAATTCGAATGATTTTCAACCAAATGGATTGTTCTAAGCCTTATAGACATCATGAGTACAAATTGAATGTAAAAACTAAACTTTTGACTCGTTTGAAAAAAATATGTAAAAAAAACGTTCATTGTGTAACCGAAATATTGTTGGAGTAAAATGAGCATCCTATCGGGATGGCATAAGCGCCCTAGTAAATAGTAGGTAAGCATGTTCTGTTCTAATGAAGACCAAGGTAAAAATTGAATAGTTTAAGTATAAAAAGATTTTATTTTCTGTAAAATAAATTAATTTTAAAAACTACTGCCTATTTAATGCTATTATACTGTTCAGTCCTATGAATGACTAATTTTTTGTCAAAGTAGATGCTTCTAGAGTTATATTTCTACAATTTGAGAAAACGTTTGAAATAATAGGGTGCTTATATTACCCCGAATGGACTTAAAAAATGTGTTGTTAAGAATAATTTTTATGTTTATTGCAAACTAGAAAAATATCGTATAATATAAGAAACCAATGTCCAGTTATCAGCTGAAGAAATATTAACGATTAGCAGCCTTATTTTCTGATTCAGAAATCTTACAACATTTTTGACATTCTGAACTAGTCTAACACTTTTCGAATATTCCCACTAGAGAATAGTATATTTTTAGACTAAAATGAAATGAATTGTTTCAGTAGGCTTCAAGCATTAAGTCTGCAATAGATTCAGTAGAATATATATTAGTTATTTTTATGTGGGTGGCCACATTACCCCCATGGCAAAACTGCCCACTTTCCCTTATTTGCCTCTAGTAGCTGAAAGGAAGACGAACTATTATGTTTCCTTTAATAACGTGATGACAGAAACGGAGACGGTGTTTCCAAGTGAGGTAAAGTTTTGAATTCATTAGTTTTGTTGTAAGCTACGGACTCCCCATGAGCTTGTAAAAACTGTTGGTATGGGAGGAGTGTCATGTAAATATTTCGGCGATTCAACAGAATTATGTACATGTGTATTTGTTTGTTATTCAAATGTAATTACAGCATTTCCAAGTAACAAATCTAGAGCTGCTTGGTTATATTCAAAATTTATAAAGGTTTTATTGCAGCTGCAACCATAACCTACAGCTTTATGGCGGTCATATAAAATGCAAGTCATAGAACATTCTTATAGCTATCTACAAAACCCCTATAAAGCTTATAAAAAAAACCAATTGATGCTTCTGCTTTTTTCACTTATGAAAGGTTTTATGATTGCCTTGAAGTATAAAATAAAACAATATGAATTGCCCTTATAAAACCCAAATATAAATCCTAATATTGTTATATAAGTAAGCGCAATAAAACTAGTTGGCCATGAAACAGTTATTTAAAAAAAATATAAGCATTCAGTTGCAACTTGTCAAAAGTGGTTTTTCTTGCTTGCTGTCCTCTGTCGTCATATTGTCATTATGAAAATGCCATTAGCCTTGGAATAAAATCCAAGAAATTTCAATAAAACAATGGCTAAATTAGAGATCCGAAATGATTTCCAGTGTGAATTGGTATAAATTTATTTATTGAGATCTATTTTCTGTAAAATTAAGATGTTTCCATCAAATTCATTTGATTTATGAAACAATCTTTTTTGTTTCCTTGAATTATTTTGTAGGCGCATTTATTTAACGCTCATATTATCCCAATATACACGATAAAATTTCAAGCGCATACGTTTTGGAACTTCTAAAAAGTCATATATTTTCTTTAAGATTTTCACTAATGTCGCCATGAAACAAAATTGATTGCATGGTGATCTTGACACCAACACTCAAACCTATTTTTACCGCTAAAGATTTCCATATGGAAAAAAAAAGTTTCAGCAGAACAGAACAACAACAAGCTAATTTTCTTGCTTTGAATCAATAAAAATGAAATTGGATTTATAACTGATTTTCACCAAAGCGTAATAAAACTGCTTGAATACAATATTACTCTTAAAGAGGCTATGAGAACCTTTTGTAGAGTATGGGGCTTTCTTACAAAAGGTTTTAAGACAGCTTTATTATGATTCTCAAACATGTTTTATAAACCTTATCAAGAGTGGTCCACTAAGCTGGAAGACGATCTTATAGCATATTACTTTTATTGACTGTTTTATAAAATTTATCTCAAAAACCACTAATAGAGTGCAATAAAACAAGAAATGCTACTTGGGTTGCTTTTGGTAAGGTGGAATACTATTGGAAATATCCAAGGTATTTTTTTTTTTTTTTTTGAAAGATACGTTCATCTAATTATTTCATAACTGAGTCAATATCTAATAAATAAAAGTTAAGGGTTGTGTCCAAAGCACGACCTCATTGTTTCCTTGATTTGTTTTCCACAACAATAAATGGAATGTCGATTTGATTGTTTCATTGTAGCATATCAAACCCCCAATACAATCGATCAAACTCCATGTATACAATATATAGTTCTTGATTGTTATAGTTATAGTTTTCATAGCTTTCATTATTCAATTGTCCTCTTGTCTTTCTAGAAATATTGCCACGAAAATTACATATTTTGTGAGACATTAACAAAAAAAATATTTGTGCAGTCACCCTTTCTCAAGTAACGACATAAAATGAAAGATGAAGACAGACGCACAATTCCAGTGGGAACGTAAAAATAAAATTCAATTTTTTTTTGTATTCATCTGAACAACTTTCCAAAGACAGCAACCTTCTATGTAGCAGAACAGATAAGTTAAAGCAAGTAATCAGAAGTCAAATGCTACATAAGCGCCAACAGATATAATAATTCTGATCTCAGCTGTCCAGTATACAATAGGTCATATGCTGAATAACTTTACTAAAGACAGCAATGTAGACTGCTTTATCAAGCCTTTAGAATCAAAAATGACACTAGCGCTGCATGGTAAGTGAATTCTGAACTGAGAGGCCAATCAGGTGATAAGCCTTGTCCCTCCAAATGACTTCACTGAAGACAGAAACCTGCTTGCTTTCGGGCTGTCAAAATGCACACTGAGCTTGACCATCTAATAGGCCGGATGCATCTGAATAACTTTTTTCTAGCCAAGATGTCAAGTTATGCAAACAACTTGAAGCTAAATGGTGCATTAGCACTGTCTAGTGAGCGAATTCTGAACTTAATTGTTCATCATCCAATTACTAAATATTATATAATAGGAAGTATTTTTTTTTTTTTTGGGTATCAAGCTGGAGCTGCGTGACAGCTTAATTTTCAAGACTTGACCCATTTGAACAAATTTTGCTTCTATCTTTGACAATACAGCAGAAGGACTAGCCTATGTTGGCCGCTTGAACACTGGATTCCGTATGTATTGTTTCAAGATAGTTATAGAAAAAATGCTGTGACGTGTGCGCGTAAATAAAAAGGCTTATTATTATTTAAAGAGTGCAAGTTGATTAATTTTGGTTTCCTCCCTAGATATTCTACTTATTTACTACTGAGCTTTGTATCAAATTAGTTAATTTTAAGAACGTATCAATCATTTCAAGATTTCGCGACCGCACCGAACAAATTCTATACTACATAAGCTCAAAAGCGTTTGACAAGCTCTACCGAATTGCGTATCACTTCTGCGTAAGCTCCGTAGACGTAGGCGCGTTGATTCCGACAGCCGCGAAAAGTTAAACATGCATCAATACCACATAAGGAAAGATCGATTTTACGTATGGTTTAGCTCATAGATTAACATTGACTGCTGTTTAAAAATGTAAGTACTTGAACACTAAGAAATAAGTTAACTCAAATGCTTTAACCGTTAGTTACAATACCATATACAAAATGATGTTTAACATTGTTCCCTGAGTAATACCTCAATGAAAACAACAATGAAAGCTTATCACGCAAATAGAAGGAGCATCGATGGAAACTTTCTGAAATATTTCAATAGTATAATTCCCTTGCAAACCTATCTGCGTAAAAAATAAATAAAATAAGAGTGATTTGCGGCAAAATTCGCCAGTATCACACCCAACGTCAGTGCCTATACGTAAGCGTACTACGACGCGGCTCTCAATAAAAGGAGTAACAAGTGTGATACTATCACTGCTAGACT